GGATGAGAGTGTCAGAGACAGTGTGATTGGCACAGGACAGAGCGGAGTTTAGGGCTGTTGTACATAGGGTCGCTATGAGTCGCAGGTGACTCGAAGGCACATAACAACAACAACAACACTTCTATTGTGATTTTAATGAACGTCTTTGATTTTTTTTTTTAGGTAAGTTTTACCACCTCTTCACTTTATGTAAGGAAGGTTGTCTCATCTGAATATCTAAAGTTGCTAATGGGCACTTCTGCAATCCTGGTGCCATAATCTTCTTTAACACTCTGCCTTATTTTCTATGTAACAAAAATTTTCCAATCCTATTGTTTGACATTCATAATTAGTAATACTGATTATATTCATCATGTTGCACAACTATTATAATTTTTCTTTTTCAAACTATTCACTAAGTTGAAATTTAGTGACCCCTAAGCAATGACTCAGTTTTCTTCTTCCCTTCCACTGCTTATAATCACTAATAAGCTTTGGTCTCTATATATTAAGAATCTGGCAGTTAAGTACTTGATTATTTATCAAGAAGTAAAGAGTTCAAACTTGCCAACTGATTCCAGGCAAAAAGATGCGGCTGTCTGCTTTTATAGAGTTCAGCCTTGGAAACTGTCCTGTACACTCACTATAAGTTGGAAACAACTTGACAGAATCAAGCTTTATATATTTGCGTATTTCCTACAACATTTGTCCTTTTGTGATTTACTTATCTCATTTATCATAATGCTTTCAAAGCTCATCCACATTTAGTATATATTAGACATTGACAAATCTTTCCATGTAATCAGAAAATGAGCTATTATTAAAATTCTTAAAATCAACACTCCAACTCCATATCATACCAAAAGGGCACAATTCACTGTACATCGTTAAGATTAAGAAGTTAAAACAATACCTGAGCTATCACTTTTCTGAATTGCTTTGACTGGCTGGTCTCTTTTGCTCATGATTCCTACTTCTGTTAAGAAAAGAAGAAAAAGCTGAAATGTTAAAATGTAATTTTTAAAATATTTTGGAACATGTGTTAAATGGGAGTATTTCTAAGGTTTAGGACTAAGTGTCATAACTTAAGATTTTTCAATTCTTTTTTTAGAAGCCCCCTTGTGCTATTTTTTTTCTTTTTTTCTGGCCTCTCCCCTCTTAATTACCCTCTATTGCATTATCTCAGTGATTGATAAATATTTTGTAATTATAAAGTTGTGCATATTTTCTTTTGAGTTCCTGGGAGGAGAAAAACTGTATAAAACAAAAA